CAATCTGATGTTTCTGCTCCACAGTTCAGGTCTAATGTGTCTGAGAATTGATTTCACATTTTCTCATCGTTTCAATTCTAACTTGTAAATTTAAAGTGAGGTCACAATCTGACACTGATCCCAGAACAGACCAACACGTCGGGAGTTTTTCCAGAAGCTCCTGAACGCCTCGTGAGTTCTGGGCGGCAGTCGGCCTCTTTGAACTTTTCCTGTCGCTGAATTAACTTTGAGGTAAAAATCTTTTTCTCTTTCTCTGTGTATTAATACTCTGAATACTGCAGAATGTACTGCGATCCTCCGCAGTACATTCTGCAGGAACACAGTACAACTCAGTGTTAGGTGTAGTTCTAAAGGTGACAGAGTTCAACATGTCTGCTTCAAGTGTTCACAACAAGTGTTCAACCAGGACCAGTGAAACTGTCTCTGAAGCTGAATCTGGATCTGGATCTGAATCTGGATCTGCTGCTCTCAGCTGTGATGCTGGAGGACTCAAGTTATAAAATCTGAAATAGAAAAAGTCACTGAAGCTAAAATCATTTCTACACGAGACGTCACCTTCTGAAGTCATTTTACTGTATTTGTACTTGTATTTGTACTTGTATTTGTATTTGTACTTGTACTTGTATTTGTACTTGTACTTCTCTGAATGTAACTTGTTCCTTTTCATTCAAACACTGAGTCCAGATGAACTCTGAGTTTAAACACAAAGTTAAAGTTCTGCTGATCCAGTGAAAATACTTCATCTAATCTGTGTTCGTCTGCTCAGGGTGGATCACAGATCTCCAGTACATACTAGTACATACCAATAAATACTAGTACACACTAGTACACACCAGTACATACCAGTACATACTAGTACATACTAGTACATACCAGTAAATACGTAATAGTAAAAATCGTTCTCAGAAATGTTTTCCTCTCTATTAACAATAATTTACTGTAATAATAAAACAGTGAATGTGCATGAAGACACTCGGCTGCTTTATTTTGGAGGTACTCATGTTTGTTATCGTTAAGACTCGTGTCTCTTTCTTCTGGACAGACTCATGAGTGACTGTGAGGACGGAGACTTCTTCTGGGAGTCCTGGATTTCATCTGGAAAGAGGAAAAGAAAGAAGAACTCGCAGAAGGACAAAAAATGTGTCAAACACAAAGACACCAACGGGAAAACAGACGAGAGCTCGCAGAAGAAGAAGAAGAAGAAGAAAAAGAAGAAGCCCGGATTCAAAGAAGCAATGGGGGAGTGGAAGAACAAGACGAAAGAAAAGAAGGGAAAGAAAAAGAAATCGTCGGTGGGGTTTGAGGACAGTTTCATATTCACACAGGGTCACGCTGGTGCAGAACCTGAGTCATCGCATGGTCGCAGCACTGAGAAAGTGACGGAAGACTCCAGAAAGAAAAGCAAGAGAAAAAAGAAGGTGGCGTTCGCTTCATCTCCAGGCAGCATCGCCATCAAACGCCCTAAATTTGCCTCCTCGTTGCCCAAAGAGCTAACGCACGATAACGACTCCCAGTGCACCAGCGACGATATAAACAGCCAGGACCTGTTCATCACGCAGAAGACGTTCAGGACGTCGCCCGTGGAATCATCCAGCGGCGAAGTCTGTGACAGAGCTCTGACGCAGCCAGAGAGGAGGCTGCACCCGTCTCATGAGGGATCGAACACACGTCTGCAGGAGTCTTATCCTCATCCAGAGCGTCCCAGAGCGACAAGAGGACAGACACAAGTGTTAGGACACACACTGCTCAAAGAAGAGGAGGGGGAGGGGGAGGGGGGGGACACGAACCTCACCAAGGAGACAAGAGGAACCAGACGTGTGAAGTTCTGGGGAGTGAATCCTTTTCTGGACGATCCGGTCGAGCTGAAGTCACAAACAAAGACACACTCCTGCACCTCGAGTCAACAGTCTCCCTCCTGTCCTCGAAAGACCCCCGAGCCGTCCCTGCTTCCCCAAAAATCAAACACCTCCACACAGACGGAAAACTTCTTCACAGCAGAATTTTCCTCCTTCCTCAACTTCTGCCAAACAAGTCGAGGAGCCGTTTGTTTTGAGGACCTGAAGCCTCTGGACTTGAGTCTGCCGCAGAGGGCGAGGACTGACCCCGGGCGGTGTCTGTCAGGCGACCAAATCAAAGATGACGAGGGGAAAACGTCCTCTCCACGAGACAAGATGAGCAGCAACGGTCACGAAGACGCCGGCCTGGCTCCGGCTCTTTCCTCAGACGTGGAGAAGCAGTCTTCTGGTCGGCAGCGTTGTTCTGTTGGCGCGCAGAGGAAGGTCAAAACGACTCCAAGCCCCCAGTCAGAGTCCGACCCCAAGTCCACAGACACAACGATGTCCAGCGAAGACAACGAAACTGCCTGCTGCACCGGGAAGCTGGACATGGCCCAGGTGAGAGGACACGTCTTCTGTTTCCTGGATCATTCAGTCACAGAAGGTCTTTTTCTGTGATGTGCAAAACAACCAGGTGTGAAATCTTAGGTTACACACACAGCTGAGATAAAACAGGAAACGTCTTTGATTTGTCTTGGGGCTAAGAACCGGGGTAGAAATGTTGAAACAAACACAAAGATGCACTGATGTTGTTCTATCCACTGAAAATGTTTCTGTGTGAATCAGAATTATTTGCAAAGAGGAAGTTAACGTACGTGTTTTCCTGTGACTCCAGGTGAGAGCCGTCCAGATGAGACTCAACGAGTCGTTCTTTTTCAAGACGAAGGGAGAAGAATGTTCCCACAGACCCGAGTCTCCGCTGATGAAACTCGCTCAGGGCAGAGAGATGAAGAGCAGGAAGGGTCACTGAGGTCACGAGGACGGACACCGAGGGTTCCAGGAGCTGTGGAGTCCGCAGGGGAACGCAATTCTGAAAGTGGCTCCTTCGTTTGTCTCTGAGAGAGAAGTTTGTTTTAGAGGCTGCAGTTTGTGGCTCTGGTTCATTTTAATGAAGTCCGACATTTCTATTCTTTTCTCCACCTCGTTCGTATCAACGGCTGAGTTACAGAACGTCTCCGTATGATTCAATACAAACTACATCCTCTAGAATTAAACATTTGTTTGAGCCACGTGTTCTTAATAAACCGAACAGTAGAGATTCAAATTTACCCGTTCGTCAATAATTATTGACATTATTTCGTTTCTGTGTTTGGACGTTGGAGTTTCAGGTTCGTTGTTGCTTTAATGTTGTCGCAGTGTTTTACTCGCAGGTTTGTGTCAGTTCCTTCTCATTCACTTGTGGTTCAGAGGCTTTTGTTCTGTTTGAGAAACGTTTTATCAATTAAAGTGTATTTATTGAACAGGAAGAGTTTCTCTCATGTTCCACTGTTGTTTTTATTGAGTTGACCTCCGACATCTATGAACACACACACACATAAGATAATCATTTATTTCTGCTCAAACAAAGATAGTAACACATGGTTCAGGATTTACTTTGACACCAACACAACCTGACATCCTGATTTTAAACAAGCTGATTAACCAACTAATACAAAGGGTTGCTCCCTGATTCATTTCTGCTCTAAATACCATGAGTCCTAGTTGTGTCTGAAGAGCTTGATCCCGATCCAGCTCCAGAGGTGGAAGAAGACGTAGACGGGGATGGTGACGGGCAGCAGCAGACTGTAGAAACACAGGCTGCTGCTGCTGGTGCAGCCCTGAGGGAAGTTCTCGTCCACCGCGGCCGAGTAGAACAAACCGAAAAGGGACACGATGGGGACCAGTCCCACCATCATGGACAGAGAGAACATACTCACAGACTGGATTAATGAACTATCAGGGAGGTGGTACAGAAGCTTTGAGGCAGGAGGCAACACTAAACCTCCAGGTACACAAGTGTTCCACACGCCTCAGGGGAGGATCTGCGTTGCTGTGACGACGCTTCTACTCTGTGGTCGAGGGGTCGGAGGCGTCTTTGTGAAGGAGTCTGGCCTCCTGAGGGATCATGTTGGGGATTCCGTCAGTGATGGGATACGCGATGCCAAGCTCCTCGTTGATCAGCTCGTTGGTCTCAGCATCATATCTGGAGACACAAGAGCAACATTATTATTATTATTATTATAGAATTACTCATGAATCCCTGGATGTCGTGAACGTGATGAAACTGAAAGTCATCGGTCAACACCTGACTGTTGCCCTCCAGGATTTAGATGGGTCCCATATGACTGTGTCACATATTCTTAGTCATGGTAATACAACACAGAAGTACTTTGTGTTTTTGTACTTTGAATAGAGACATTTAGACATAAGTTAAAAATAATAATAAATACATCAGATAATCTCTTCTCATGAAGAACTGTTCAAAATACAACGAGCTTCATTTTCTGAAGGTCAGAAATGTTTCAGCTGTTTGTTGGACAGATGTTGTGTCTCTGTGTGTCTCTGTGTGTCTGTGTGTGTCT